ATCAGGAGACGCACCATTGCACGGCGTGATGGTTTGCCCACGACACTGCCCACCCTGAGTTATGTGCTATCGCTATCCGTGTGATGCACATGTGGACATCAGCCTCTCCCGCGGAGAGGAATTGGGTGGTCCACGAGCGCATTCAGATGGCAAAGCGGAGCAACCTTGGCTTCGCCAAGCTGGCACAGCTGGTTGAGATCACGACAAATCTCAAACTGGCTTCATGCAGGCAGCAGGGTGGCGGCTATGTACTTCCTTGGTTCATGGATGGTGTCGACACCGAGAGACGGCTGCCGGATGAGGACGAGGACTACGGTGACCTCGAGCTCGACGTGTGGGGGGCCAGACCTGTTGGTACGTTCACAGACCGGGAGATCAGGAGGCAGATCAATGTTTTTCGCAAGGACGGCACAAGCCGTCCTCGAGAGGTTTCTGCCGTATTCGGGGATCGGGCGGCCACTGTGCTCCCTTTCGACCATGTGCCTCCTCCCCCGTCCCGGGGAGCAGGAGAGGGTTCCGTGGCAGCCGCTGAGGATGGAGAGGACGATTGGACGGACGCAGAGGATGTGGCGAGGGGCACACACAGGACAGCGGAGCAGGTGTACTTCACGTACGGGGGCGGGTCGGACGGGCATGCGTCGCGGACGTCCGTCATCACGGACAATGTCGCCGACGGGGCACATGGTAGCGCCACTCGACACCCTCCAGCGGTTCGAGGTCGTGGCGCCGTTGCTCGAGACGTTCACCCCCGCGCGAGGAGAGTTCTAGGGGTGGAGTCGAGTGACGAGGACGAGGGCGTGGCACCTCACGCTGACCACCTGCGGGACTCTCGGTTCGATCTGAGCCACCACTCCAGGGAGCATTCAGAGCATCTTTGTCGGTCACACAGGTTGGCAGAGCGTAGCGTTCCGGCGTCTCAGCAGCCTCAGGACATACCGGTGGCGGAGGGGACACCGTCACACAGCGGCCCCGCACAGGCTGCGACATCCTCTCTGCGCACGAGCGATTTCGATATCGCGGGTTCGCATGGGGGCTCACCTGTCTTACGATGCAGAGTCCCTGACAGACCGGATTACAGTACGGATGTGAGGGAGAGGGAGGAGACTGTTGAGGAGAGGGATGCTCGCCTGGATCGCGAGGAGGAGGCACGGTTACAGTCTATGCCTCGATGGGAGGGCAGAGAGGCGTATGAGGCCGAGCAGCGGAGGCAGAGGGAGTTAGAGATGATAGGAGCGGGTGCGCCATCGAGCGTCGGACGTATGCCGACTTCTGACACGATGCAGCCCCCCTCTGGGCCCTCTCATGTTATGGGTGGTGGTGCTGACACATGCGGATTCCCCGCTGGAGGCGGGGGGGCAGGCAGATTTGCCATGCGAGGGTGGTCATGTCGGGGGTGTCGAGACAATCGGGACAGACACAGGAGCGGAGAGCTCCGACGACGGCGAGGAGTGTGCGGCCGCCGAGGCTATCGTAGGCGACGTCGTGATTGGCATTGCGCGGCAGGCACAGATGGAGGGACTCATGGAGGGGAGGAGGGGATAGTGGACGAGGGGAGTGTTCCTTTGCCTCAAGAGGAGTTGGCGGACGAGGGGAGTGTTCGTTTGCCTCAGGAGGAGTTGGTGGACGAGGGGAGTGTTCCTTTGCCTCAGGAGGAGTTGGTGGACGAGGGGAGTGTTCTTTTGTCTCAGGAGGAGTTGGACGAGGGCGATTTGGCTTTGCCTGAGGAGGAGTTGGTGGACGAGGGCAGTGTCCCTTTGGAGGGCAGTGTGCCTTTTGAGGCTTTCGTTGATGGCGCGACAGAGGATGACGAGGAGGGAGTAGCGGTTGACGCAGGCCACAGTGCCCCGTTCGCACAAGATGGCGTGACCGGAGGGCATGTTGAGGAGGAGGGAGCAGCCATCGACATGTCCCTCGCGATTATTGTTAGGCCCCCGTCGGTGCGAGATGTTGAGAGAGGAGGGCATATTGACTCGGGCGGTCCGGGCTCTTTTTCCACAGTGTGGGCATTTCGGGGAGATGCCTCAGTGGGATGGCGGGGAACCGGGGGAGTGCACTCCGACCCCATTACATCCGGAACAGCTAGAGAGGTTGGGGACGGAGGACCCTTTCCCGCTCACTGGTGGTCAGCCCTCGCCTCCCGGGCCCTCCCCCCTGGGCTCCAGTGAGCCTTATGTGGATTGGATCATCGCAGTCCGACATCCGCGAGCGGGAGTCTTTGGAGAGATAGGCGGCAGTATTTTCGGGCGGGCCTAGCAACAGCCATGTTGAGCCACTTACGCACCCTGTATCTCGAGCATCGCAGCAGGGATACGCACCATCCCACCTCTTATCTAGACTGAACCCTTAGCTAATGGGAATTGAAAATTGACGATGGCCCAGTGGGATTGAATTCATTGATTGCTCTAGCTTACTGAAACCTCATGGAGCATAAGTTTTTTTTCCTTCTTTGCTCGATTATGTAATCAATCGCTTATAACCTTATCGAGGTTGTTTCAGACGTATCCTTCCTAATATACTGCTATGAACTCATCCGTGGTAATCCTGGTAATATGACTCCGGGAGCGACACTCACGATCAACTGGTTCTCAAAATTGAGTCAGCAATTACAAGCTCGTAAATTTGAGCCACAAGCGTGGCCTTATCTTATCGTACAGAAAAGAAAACCACTCAAACAATTAACTTTTAGTTTCAAAAAGGCGTCTGCTGGACGAAATTCCACAGGTCGTATCACCCTTTTCCATAGAGGCTCTCACGCAAAACGATTGCAGTGAAAAATTGACTTTCAACGTAACACTTCGTTGACGGGTAAGGTAGAAAGAATCGAATATGATCCTAAGTCTCGATATTAGATCTCTCAGCTATTTTGTCTTGAGAAATTTGCCAAATAAAAACATAAAATATAGCTAATTCTATCACACCATAAATAGGTAAAACACACAAAAATTGAAAAAAATACCTAAAAGACTGAATAAAAAAGTAAAAATGTTTAGAAAGAAGATCCAAAAATTCTACCGAAATGAAATGACTGAATGAATACAAGCCGTAGCTAATACCCAAGGCATCAAAGATGCATTTTCTACGGGATCCCAGAACCATCAACCGCCCCAACCTAGCTCATGATAAGCCCACCAACCTAGGTGGCATTTTAGGGGGGTGGTCGTCTTGTAGGCGAGTGACGGACATTCTGAGGAGGGACTACGATAGAGGACGGGGGTTGTTCGCACGAGGACCATTGGGGGAGGGAGATCCTGCCGCGGGTGCGAGTAAGGCTGGACGACCGAGTGTCCACACAGGAGGACGTATACTCGGATTGGATAGAGTTGAGACGAGGAGGACAAAGAGGTTGGAGGTTTATCTGGCTCGATCCGCCATTGACGACAGACGGCAGGGACTGTTGTACACATCGGGCGAGGAGGACTTGCATATGCCACAGGGTTCGAGACATCATGGCTCGATCAGGGATCTTGATGCGGAGGTTGCTGCTGACCAGCAGCGGTTGGCGGACCTCATTCGCGAGCGTGAGAGGAGGTCGGAGACGGAGGCACAGGCTGAGGAGGCGGACACAAAGACTGAGCCAATCGACACAGCTATGCGGACGGAGAGGCATCGGAGAGTAGCGTCTGCGGCAGGCTCACACCTTGCACATGTAGGAAGACAGGGAGCACCACGCAGTAGGGGTCAGAGTGGGCAGAGAGGAGCATTGGTAGGGAGAGGGAGTGCAGCACGTCATAGCACTCATACTAGGCGCGGCAGCAGGGGTTAGCGACTTGTGTAGCACGACAGATCAGTTTTGTACTTTCATGTTTTACACAGCAGGAGTTAGCGACTTTGTGTAGTAGGGCAGATTAGTTTTGTACTTTCATGTTTTTATATATTATCTTTATTTTATCTATACAATACTTTTATGTTCTTAGTTGTTAGGTTTCAGAGTTGCTCTACGTTGTTAGTTTTGTTGTGCTATGCTATATTTCCATCATGTTAGGTGTCAGGCTTGCTCATGGTTGTAGTATTTTTTTCCTACACTGCGACACTAGTTTTGGTTTTCTTGGCCAGGTTGTTATGTTGACTTTGTTCACATTTCGTCATAGACACATTACGTTTGCGAGTGCTATGTTTGCATCATGTATTGCCAGTATTGGTGTTTCTGTGTGTGTTGTATTGTCCTTATGTCTATCAAACCCTATCCCCTCCCAGTTAATGTCCCTCCCCAACCACCTTTCAGCCAATGAGCCCTCTCTTTCTGCCCCCTCCCAATGAATGACATCCACCAACACCCCCCCAAAGAATGACTCCCCGACCAGATCAAACCCCCAAAACCATCG